GAATTGCTTAAGCGTTGGGTCACCCTTTTGTTCGGTTATTAATGAAGCGGGGCTAACCTGCAGCAGCCGACTGAAATTATCCGAAGTTGGCATGACACACAACTCCTTTGTAGTTCCTAGTACCTGGAATGTGTCACCCTCTGTGCTATCCTCTGTACTACCGGGAATCGGCTTGGGAGCAATGGCATTCTCTATTTGCTCGGTCAACGAGGCGTAATTGACCCCTTCCAATTTGGGAGGAGGTTCAACGTCGCCTTTAGGAATGGTTGCCTCCGCGACTACGGCTTCTGCAGCCTGTTCTCGCACAAGTCGATTTGTTTCCGTGGTGTCCAACTCGCAACCAGGCCCGTTGTCGATTTGAGGCTTGTTTGCCTCAGTGAATGTTGCTCTCGCAGCCAGCGCACGTGCCTTTGATCTAGTCAGTGCCTGCACTATGCCTTCTCCCAACGTTAGACCTTTCTCCTTCAGCATTTGATCTGACTTATTTGAAAATAAGTAAGGATACTGAGGGGGTAGATATGGCGATACCGCGGCTTCTGTTTCCAATGTTCCAAATGCGCCTTTAAGGACAACTTTAGCTACGGGAAGGCACTGACTGTTTGCTTCTACGGCTTGTCTAATCCAGGCACAGTCTCCTGAATACTGTCCGGACTGAACAAAAGACGGATGAACTACGTCCATAGTGGCTGCGGAGTCTCTAAGAACCCGACACTGCTTGCCGTTCACGGTAAGGTCGTACATACAGGGCTCTAACAACTTCATGTTCTCGTCGGCTTCATTTATAGATAAAAAGGCCACCTTTTCTTTCGGGCAGTCTTTCGCGAAGTGCCTTGTTTCGTGGCAATTGAAACAAGCAGCCGGTTTTCTCGCCTCAAATTTCCTTTTGCTTGCCTCTGCCAACGCCCCATGGTTAGATTAATTGTTTTCCTCACCCTTTTGTGCGAGACTTGTCGGTTGTTTTCTAAACGGCGCCTTATTCGGCCGTAGGAATTTTTCCCTTTTAGGCTCGCTGTTTGCCCCGAGGGCGCGGCTCGTAACGAATTCTTCAGCGAGCTCTGCGGCTTTTGTTACGGTGTTCACGTCCGGTCTATCCTGCACCCAGAACCTCACCTTTTCTGGTAACCTTTGATAGAATTGTTCCAGACCGATACACTCGAGCACCTTGTCATGATTCCCATATGCCTTTGCCTCTTTCAGCCACTCTCCCATGTTGGCCATTAACTTGTAAGCAAACTCCGGGTATGAATCATTGCTCTCTTTTACGGCGTTGCGAAATTTTTGTCTGAAACCTTCCGCTGACAACCTGTATTTCTTGAGAAGGCTCGACTTTACCTCACTGTACTCGTCAGCCTCCTCTTTCGTGAGGCGCGCGATTACTTCTGAGGCCTCCCCCGGAAGTAGGGACAACAAGCGTTGAGACCATGTATCCTGGCTGAAACCTTGCCTTTCACAAGTTCTCTCAAAGTTGACGAGGAACAGCCCAATGTCCTCCCCTAGCTTGTACGATCTCATTAGGTCCGTCATTTGAACCTGGCCCGCTCTGCTGTACCGGATGCCTCGCTGCCTCCTGCTCTACTATTATGGCTAATCTCTAGCTCGAGGCGCTTCATTTCAAGCTCGTGCTTTCGCATCTTATCTGCCTCGGCTTCTGCCGCTTTCCTTTCGGCCTCCGCCGCCTTTGCTTCGGCCTCGGCCGCGGCCGCCTTTCTTTCGGCCTCTGCCGCTTGCCTCTCCTGAATCTCCTCGATACATTCTGACAGCTCGTCATCCTCCGCCCCCAATGCGAGAATCGCCTCTATCAGCTCTGGCTTTCTTTGAGAGTCCGACACCTCCAGATTCAACTCCCTTGCAAGAAGCAACAACATGGACTTTCGCAGGGATTTCAGATTCATGGCTGCCTCCAGTACCGCTGTCTCTGTTCCACAAAGATTCCTGTCCTGCAACTAATTAACCTTGACGGCAACGACAGCTCTAGATACCTGCCTTGCCTGAAGTTTTCCGTTAACTTAGTCTACAAATAAAGCTTCAAAAGCTCTTACACGGAATCCTGCCCTGTCACTGTTAACCTTGACGCCACTGACAGAAAGAGCTTAACCAAGCTATCACACAATTTCTGCCTGACGCAAGTTACCTGTTAACCCAATGACCAAGACAGCCCCTCTCTACCAGCTTTTACTTAACACATAGAGTAAATGCCTGGTAAAATTTAACAGAGAAAGCCGGCACTCACCCAGTTCGCAGTCATGTCTCCGGCGTTGTGCCTCTCAGAAGTGCCGTTCGATTCCCTCTGGCAGTCGATGAGCTCGTGTCCTCCTTCTCCTGTCGTCCCGTTGTTGAACTTCGGGCTCACTCCGTCCAGTGGTCGCTTTCGGGGTTATCAGCATCCCGCCGCTGCCATCCAGTTGTTGGGACTCCGGGTCCTGCCGGTCTCGTTTTCGGTAGCTGGCCCCGTCGCAGGATCCATCGTCCAACAATTCAGCGAGAAAGAAGCGCCCGAACGAACAACAGAGATTTATTTACATGTGGAGAAGTGGTCAACTGACCCAAAGAGAGAAGAGTGCGTGTGATACAAAACGTCTTCGGCATTTTATAGCGCCACGTTGTTGACACTGGGCGCCTTGTCCGCATCGTCAGCCAATACGGTGTCGCCGGCACCTCGGCCACGAGGGAGGGGAAAACACCTCTCACAACACAAGGAGTGGCACAACCCAACACGAGGTCCATATATGGTCCCGGCGCCCCAAAATGTTACCAAATATGGTCACGAATGCACAGCAGACCCCGTAGCTCTCCCGGCGAGGAGGAACCCGAATGGGGAGGTGGGGGTGGACGACACCGTCAGGTCAAGAACCGGTTCTCCCCCAAACTCTCCCTGCTTGGCTCCCCAGGGCCGGTCGTAACACCGCGTAGTGACAACAAAGGTCAACGCTTGCATCTGAAAGATGAAAAGCCTTAGAACATGCGGACGAAGTGGCAATGCCTCGTCGATAAATGTCGAAGCTTCGTCTATAACGACGAAGCTTTTTGCGACAGGAAACTCAATGTGCATTGGACGAGGACGAGATTGCGCTTTCCATCCTTCAGAGTGCACGTGGCCGACTAGCAGCTGGAGCCACGCCTGTGCAGAAGTTACTACGACACCCAGGCCACCGCCCTTCTCGTCACTCAGCGAGCCTGCAAAGCTGGCGCAGTTTTTTTTTATTTTATTTTTTCTCGCTTCTGTTAACGTAAAAGGGCATTAAATTGCAACTGCACTAATACGGTATAAAACTACTGACCAAGACCAAGTTTGGGGTGCACATATAATGTGCAGGAAAAAAAAAATGGATATCTCGCAACCAAACTGGGTGTGCGCCTGTTATGCAATTAAATACGGTATTACCGAGTTTAGATAGCCGGTTTGAAGAACACGATAAGCCAGTCAGCTGGCTGTCACGAGGTATGAAGTGAAAGAAATCAATGATTGAGGTAAAAGTGAGATGGAAACACGTTTTGCAGTTAAGCTGACCTTTGAACAAGTGGAAGTGGTGACATAGGCATGTGCACAAGGGGTGGGACAGGAGGGGCCTCCTAGTCACCAAAAAAAAAAAAGGTGGGAGGTGGGCTGCTGTGACCCTTTCCTAAAGGGGTGTACTGCACATGTCTATGAATGGTGACATACAGTCAAAACCTGCTATAATAACTAAACCCCACGAGTACGAAATCCCCACGACATCAAAATATTTCCGGATCCCCGGCGAACGTTCATAGAAGCCCATGTATTACGTATCTCGCGGCAACGAAATGTTTTTGGACAGCGATCCCGCATCAACGAATTTTCTGCCACGGTGTGGTCCTTATTTTACCCTCCCGCCAAAGGTTAACTGTCGAAAATATGCTCGTATGCGTGCTATGCACACTCAAAATTTGTAAATGTCTGCTTTTGCCACGCTAGCGTGGGTACCGCCATTTTTTTTACTTAAATCGGCGATGGGGTCTGTGTCCAGCAACATGCTTGGCCACACTACAGCAGGCGATGGCAAATGATCATGATGCGATGGCAAATAATCAGGCTATGGCAAATGATCAGGCTATGGCAAATGATCACGTGGGCTTCACCACCACCGTGCAAGCATCACGCACAGATTGCGCTTCGGCGTCACCAGACAAAAATTTGGACGAAGGCGCACTTGACGGCGAGAGTGGTGGCAGTGCAGTGCCTCTATCCCTGACCAAAGCCTGGGGGGAACGTCGAGCCATTGACATCCCAGATGAACTCACCGTTGATGCGTTCGTTCGCACCAATGATGACGTAGTCGTGTACGAGGAAGTCACCGACGAGGCCATTATCGAAAGCATGTGCGAAGCTGACGACACCGAGGACCAAGAAGAGACGCACGCAGAGAAACCCAGCCTGCGGATTGTTTCGGATGCGCTGGACACCCTTCGCTCCTTCTTTGGCGCACATGACGACGTAGAAATGGACCACTTTTTCCAGTGCAAAGGGAGAGCTTTGAAGTTGTTGCATGGCAAGGGTCGGCCAAGTAAGTTGACAGACTTCTGGTAATAAATTTTCGTTCTGCTGGCCATCTCATACTCGTGGCAACGAAATTCTTGCGAAGATGAAATTTTTCGGTTGCCCCGGCGATTTCGTTATTTCGGGTTTCGACTGCACAAGTCTATGAATGGTGACATAATCTCACATTTCTTGTAATTCTTTCTTTAGATTAGTGCCTAGTACTTTAATGAGCAGTTTTTGGAAACTTCGTACATTGCAACTTTGCAAGACTACTTAGATGCGACATACAGGCATATAACGTTGGTAGGATGTTATGAGGGAGTGTTATATTTCTGGTTGCACCAGTGGAAGAGAGCACTGCTTCAAGTTTCTTTTGTAAACTAGCGAAACTCGTGTTTCATGTTATATAAGCAACCCACTGCTTTACAAGAGTAGTACGTAGTGCAAATCAAATTCCAATTCTGAGCTGAATGCGTCGTGATTCATGTGTCATTCTGTGCAGACACAAGAGCGTGAGGCCAAGCTGAAGATGAAAGAGAAGGCCAAGGAACTACAGCGGGCACGGCAGGAGGCGCGCAAGGGAGGTGGCGGGCGACCCAGTGGCTTTGGAACTGGCTTTGGCTCAGGTTCAGGCTTCACACCCACAGCCGTGTCTCCGGACACACTCAGTGAGCCTGCATCACCCAAACCCTCCACCTACCTGCCACCAAGTCGCCCAACGGGTGGCAGTGGGCCCAACAAGGCCCTCAAACTGGGAAGCAAGCATCGCGAATGGGACACTTTTGCAGATCAGCTCAAGCAGGAGGGTGAAAGTGAGTGGACTTGAGAAGTTGATCTACATATACTTTGAGAGCCCCATTATGAAACGTTACATGTTGCGTAGGCATATGAAGCTAGAAATTGAGGACAATGCTACAAGGATGAGTGAGCATGCTTGATCTGCAACATTGAGCTGCTGAAATCGATTGTTTGATTTTGCCGCAACAGCCCTCTTCACTTGCAGTAAAATGCCTAAATGCTTGTGTATTTATACTAGTGCACACTGAATTTCAGTAGTTCAAGTTAATCGATGGCACACTCTACTACTTGCCTCCGAATCGGATTGTTGTTTGGAACATAATACCTCAATGTTATTTCAACTTTACCACATTCAATCGCATACTGCTAGTGTGTACTCGATTGCTAATCAGTCTAGTTGGTTGCTTTGGAAGCTTCGTAGGTCTTGCGCAGTTTCAAGAAAACAATTATTATAGAAGAGCATTTCAGGGTTGCGGGTAGCTTGTAAAATTTTGCCTGGTGATTCAGCTGTTTCTCACATGTTCGCGCAAAGTTCAACAATAGGCTAGAGTTTTTGTCGAGTTCCCTACTTAGCATTTTGGTTGAATAGCTTTTTTCACTCCATATCAACTCTGCGACAATGTGGTCTCTTGTAGGTAAAGTTTGAGCTCTCCTATCAATTGCTTATGTGGGTTTGTGCGCAAACTATTCATGGCTTTCACAAAGATGAATGAATTTTATGAGGCTCCATAGTCACTTGTGTCAAAAAAATTAATATGCATGGCTGTAGGTATGATGTCGTGGCCCATTTATAGCAGGCACTGTGCAACTGCTTGTTACCAAAGCCACTTATGACTAGGCGGCACATTTAGAAGCCACAATCATCTTGACAGTTTTAGATTGTAACCCGGCATCTGTAATCTCCGCCTAGCTCTTGGCTTCGTCTTAGTGTTTTGTGAGTAACGGTTGTGTGAGTTCCTGCGTCTTAGTGGTGGTTTTTCTGAATGGCTGATGTTTTCCTGCAACAGCCATCTCAAGCCAAACGTCTGCAAAATCCCAGTCCTCTTCGGCAGCTGCCCGAAACATTCCACAGCCGGCCAATGTTGAAGCGTAAGTGCTCAACAATTTCTTTTGCACAGAAAGATATCGCACTTTCCCATTTTTCAAGAGCAACATCTTTCTCTATGTATCTCCATGGCTTTCCTTCAGAGTGATACCAGCTGGTCTCGAAAGTTTTCTAAAAGTTTGGAAATAACTTGCAAGAAATCCTAGGCACCCTCCCCCTGTTTTTTTTGGCATATGTTTGTGCTGAATTGCCTGTTGCGTACATCTCTATTCGTTACTGAAACACCAGAGTCATGGATATCCCATTTTTTATTTCAGTGAGCTGTGAAATTAACAAGGCGTTTTACAGTCTTTGGGTTCCTTTGTTATCACTTTCAAAGATGTTTCAAAGGCATACCTAGCTTAGTATTTGAGACAAGTAGCAGAAAAGCAGCCTAAAAGAAATATTTGTCTGCTAACCTTTATCTTAATCAGGATAATGCTCAGAAGGTTACACCTGCCACAGTACACCTTGCTTCAGTTAAATTATTAGCAATATGAACCCTGATATATGCCACAATCATCTTTTTTCTTAGCATAGTGATGCAAGAACGTTGGGATTCTTTTGTTCTGCTTACAGTGTTGCAAATACAGTTTCATAGGTGCCATCCTGTTAAGCAAGAAGTGCATATCACTGCCTTGCTTATGCAGGGTCAGCCTCAACATAGAAGAAAAGGTGACCCTGACGGCACTGCGTGACGGTGGTCTGCAAAACATGGAAGTGCACGGCTTGGTGACGCTCCGCATCACAGATGAGCAGTTTGGACGCATCAAACTCATCTTTCAGAACCATGATGACAAGGGCGTCCAAATACAAGTAAAAATTGGCTCTTTAGGAAAGCAGCGCTGGATTCACGTTGTTCGAAATTTGTCTGCTGCATACAGCAGACTGTCTACCATAATCTATAGTACCTATACTAAGAAAGTATAAGTTGGGGGAATGAAGGGGATTTTTCGGGCCTTAGCTGTCGACCTGTCCAAGATCGTATTTCTGTCAACTACGGTTATCATGTGGTCTTACTTATATTGTCGAGCAGACCATGGCTTGGATTCTAGCACTGGGGGCTCAGATTTAGCTACCGCTTAATCTCAGTTTCTGTTGTGTACTTGATTCTAACATATCGTACTAAATTCTTTTTTTTTTATTTTTCTAAAGAAGGAATTAGTATCAGAATCAAGTTGAGACTGACTGTTTTTCGGCAGAGGTTTATAGAGGGAAGCTGCACCTGTGTACATCTGCAGCTGAAAGTGCTCTCACTGCTACAGCGGGTTGTATAGGTAGTATTACTGTATTTACTAGAGTGTAACGAGAGTTCTTCTCCACATTATCACTACATAAGGTCGACCCTCGCACTACAATTGAATACGGAAATAGTACTAGGCTTACTATTTTTTCTTCCTGCACTCAATGAAAAGTCACCCTTCGCGTTCAAATTGTGGTCGCGTTGCTGGTCGAGTAAACATGGCAGTTACAGTGCTTTTCATTACCCAACGCTGTCCTGACAACTTGTCTCTCTTTGTCTCAGACACACCCCAACATAGACAAGGAGTTGTTCAAGAGTACGCAGCAAGTGGGCCTCAAAAACCCCGCCAAGCCGTTTCCCGTCAACTCTGACGTGGGCGTGCTGAAGTGGCGTTTCCAGACCCAGGATGAGAAGATGGTGCCACTGTCCAGTACGTGCTGTTTGTGCTTCTCAATGCGCAGCTTTCTTCACTACTTTTCCCCGCTTGGTGGGTGATGGCTGCGGTGTTGTCATAATGCTGTCAAAGTTGATGGTGCATGCCTGGGCTTGTTTGTGGAAGGCTAGGAAAGCCTTTAGGATCAAAGAAAGACGAAGTGAGTTTTGCGGTGAAAGGGAGGTTGGCCTCGTGCCTTCTACTGCTGGCATGAGCACCATGAAGACGAATGATAGTGTTGCGGCTTCGCAGCTGTGTACATTTAAACATAGATATAACGGAATCGGCAAATTCCCCAAATAATTTGTTATAAAGAAGATTTGTTTATAAGCAAGTCTGGTACGAAAATTAGAAAAATAAATGCACTAATTAAACAAAAGGGGAACTGAAGGCAGAGCTCACCCAAAACACTAATTTAGCGGTAAAACAACTGCGTTATTATTGCCATAGCAATTATATGAACACTCTCAGCGGGATCTCACTGTTGCCACCATCTTTCGTAACAAGTCCAAATTGATAACATGCCTGTATACATCGTAACTTTTACGAGCGCTGCTGAAGCAAAGATCGCTGCTTTAGCACGAGCGCTGCTGAAGCAAAGATCAAATGAGCCAGCCCATCTCTATATCGCCTGAAGGGCACATGTAACATGCCCCACGTGTTAGAACTGCTCTCGAATGCTCCAACAAAAAGGAAGCCGGAAACCACCTGTCTTGACCAATCATGAAAAAACGCAGAAGGGGAGGTGCGGGGTTGCTCGAGCAGCAACAGTGAACTTCGATTTTTTCGGGATCGCCGGCACGCGTGCTATCTCTGTAAGTACCAGTGCGATTTCAACGCAAAGAGACTGTGTGAAAAGAGCAACTTCTCCCTGGAGCAGCCATATTTGCTTGCACCAGCATTTTGTAGGAATTTCACATATTGGATCCAAGAGTCGGCTTCCAGCCTTACTTCGTATGGCATAACAATTTTTTCGCTATCGCATTCATTGCATTGCATTCAATATGCCAATTTGCTGCCAGAACTTATTGGCTAATAACGAAGGCTACGGTCCTGCGAACTCGCAGCATCACGCGATCAGCACCTAAGTTTGCATCAGCGCCTAATCTGACATCATCTCGGTAGTGGCGTCACAGTTGGCGCTGAAAACGATGTGTGAATTACACAGTTATAGAGGAAAACTATTCGGCAAAGCGCTTTTCTTATGCAGCTCCGCCCTATATCTGCGATGCTAACTAAAAGCGTAACAACGCAAAGTGGCATCATCTGTATTACTTAAAGTGCAGGTTAGAGACTTCTGTAGCAGTCAAAGAGTGGCACTACCAAGGCAAGATTAGTTTCGTTTTGGTTTAAGGGAGGGAAAATGCGCCCACGGGGGCAAGAACCGCGGCACCGCCGGCTCAAGGGGCACCCTTATGTTCGCCTCCCGTATACTTTCGCGCATGGAGGAAGGCGCACAGTAACGAGCGCTCACTCTCGCCTTAGAGTCGCTGGGGCCACAAGCGTGCCTGCCGCCGCTTTAGCGGTAGCGGAGCAACCGCAGGAAATGCATGCTCGTGCCAAAATACAAAATTCGGGGCGAAATTCCTAGATTGTCTGTGGTGAAAATTCATTATACAGCAAAACCTTGTTATAACAAAGTGGGGTATAACAAACTAATGGATATAACGAAGCAATTGTAATTCCCCTTCAAATTCCTATAGATGCCCATGTATCTATAACCTCGTTTTAATGAAGTGAAAATTTCCTCACAATGGATGTAACGAACCATTCTTTGTCTGCAATTAGCATTTACTGATCATTTTGGTATACGTCAATTTAATGTCTTATAGCGTGTGACGATTTATGTCTCATCACCACTGCGGGAATTTAAAACTCGCGCCTTGCTCTCCCCGGGAGCCACCTGCCAAGACACGTGTGGGAGCGAGTATCCCTGCCTCCCCTTTTCTCAGGAACGAATAAACTCGCTCGCACAGCAACTTGCGCGAGCATAGGCGTCGGCCAGCCTCCCCCTCTCTTGTAAAACTCGTTGACCCGCCCGTGCATCTGACCTCCTTTTCCCCTTCAGCTTCAGGGTGGGGCAAGCGCGCTGCTGGGGCAGCGGAGATTGTGGCTTTCTTCCTTGTCGTTCGCTGTAGAAGAGCAACACCGCCTCTATGAGTTTCTGCCGCTAGACACAAGATGGGACAACGGCAGCGGCAAACGTAAGTGCAAAAATATAACAATCGAGCAGAAGTCGGCAATGTTAAAAGCCGTTGAGTCTGGGGTCAAGAAAAAAAAGTGGTCGAAGATTTCGTTGGTGTCGCCAGTGGGTGCTGCGGGCGACCAGGCCCAGACATCGTGGGACGCTCTCCTTGACCCTGGTGTTGTGCCTGACTGCAACACTTTCTGCATGTACGTTGGTGCCGATGCTGAAGCGGTGACAACCGACGAGTTGTCACTTGCGGAAATTGTGCCCAAGGTGACGGGCGTGCATGACCACAGTGGCCAATGTGTCGACACCCCGGAGGCTAATGTTGGCGAACCCGACGTACCGACGCCCGCGCGAGTGCTGGATGCGAAAGATCTGCTATGCCGCTTCTTTGGTGCGAGGAAGGACGGCGAGGAAGGACTCGAATAGCTGCTGCTGCTGAAAAAAGCAGTTATCCGCTTGAGGAAGAGTCAGCAAAAGTCTATTAAGGACTATTTTTCTTTAAAGCTGATCTGCCAGCTGGTGTGCCGAATTTGGCTGGAAATAAAGTGCATTGTTCTTTGTTATTTTGCTATATTTTTGCCTTTCGACGGCCGTTTTTCTTTGCGCGGTGGGCTGCTGTGATATTTGTTGGTGTGTACATTCTCTCTTGCTGGCTAATTGTTGGTAGAAATGGATATTAGCAATAACAAACTAATGGTTATAACAAAGTAATTACGACTCCCCCTTCATCTTCGGTATAACGAGGTTTGACTATAGTATCAAGGGTGTTTCCTACTGTTACTTCGCTACATAGAGGTCGCAAATGCATGTGCTCTTAGGAGTAATGGCAGGCAATAGAAAAACTTAGAATTATCGAGGAATTTGTTATATGGAGGTTCACTATAGGCAGGTTTACCTGTACATAGCACACTGTAAACCACAGAGGTCCAAGCAAGCAAAATGTTTAAGACTATGAACCAGGGGCATAGCCAGAAAATTTTTTAGGAGGTTGAAAACCACCCCTACACGTGTTTTGCGTGTGTTCATATGTGTGTGTGTGTGTACTGTATCCACATGCAAAAATTCCTAAATTATCGGGGGGGGGGGGGGGGTCATATCTACTATTATTAGTAGAACATAAATGTAGAATTTTATACATTGCATGCACTGTTGATGTCGATTACCTCCTCCACTATATGCAGCACTGCTAGTTTGGTCGTTCTCCTTGAGACACTCAGTAGCTACCAGGGCACTGTTGCACAGCAGCATACATTGGCCACTGCATTGTGCCTCGCACCGAAATAGAACACCAATCAGTAACCAAGCACACAATGCCATTGCCTTCAATGTATGACTGCCACTTAATAGCCCTGTCATACTGGAGGTGGTAATGTCATTAGGTTCAAATGTCACTTAGAGCAACGAATGTCATTCGATTTGTGGTGGCACTATACAGGAGAAAAGTAATGTCATTCGTTCATGATATCGATGTCTATAATTCAGATCAGAAAAAAAATGGCTGGAAACGTTTAGCAAGGTACATTTAGAGTGAAAGAAAAGTGAAGTTATTCATTTTAAAAGGCATGCGGGAGGTCGCTTCGCTGAATAAGTGCGTATAGAAATTGTATGTTCTATTGTAATGGTATTGTAATTCACCCTGCTTCGGGGTTCGAACCCAGGACCAACACTTTTCTGGGACGGTCGCTCTGCTAATTGATATAACCAGGAAGCTAGCAATTGCTCAGCTCTGTTAATGAATTAAGGTTTAAGTTCACTGCTTACATTGCCGTTGCCAAGTGCAGTCTTCACTCGCATTTCACCTGCAAGTCGTGCTTACGAACAATTCACTTGTGCAGTCAACTGCTGGGTGTCTGAAGCTGGTGGCAACAACTGCGATGTGAACATTGAGTACGAGCTGGAGCAGGAGCAATTGGAGTTGAATAATGTGGTCATCAGCATTCCACTCAGGTAAGCAGCCTTTTCAAGAAAGGATGGTGAATTGTTGTAATGTAGTCTGTTACCCAGAACCTTAAAATTATGGAGCCACTCATATATTGATTCATTGTACCATGAATGAAAAATTTATTCTGTAGAGTCTGGTCTGAAATTGATCAGTTTTTGTATTTTGCTGAAATATCTGACAACCCAACCTGGCTGATAATGATATAATACGAATTATAGTCTGCATACATCGATTCGCACAACTTTGATTTATGCAGTACATAAGATCTGCCAGTTTTTGTTCTCTTCACGAGTGATGCCTACAACAGCTGAACGCGACCAAACAAAATCTGCTATTGCCTCTTTTCTTCCCACCCTACACTTGAAAAGAGCTTTTTTTTTTTAATTGCCGATTTTTCAGTTTTTACTTGTGAAATCAGCACATTAAGCATACACTAGAAATGTATTCAAAACAGTGTTGCTTATTGGAACACTTGGAAGGGCCGCTTACCAGGCCCCATACCAAATTTTAGTTAGACCATGTAAGTTGTTGTTTGTCCGATGAGGAGCATTATGCCACAAAATTTTTTTCAATTCGTTCATCCCCGCATAGCCTTCGCAAACCAAATCTCTTTTCGACCATCTCCGGCATCCGACCAAGAGGTCACGTGCGCATGACGTGCCCGAACAAGCCCAAACCCCCGACCATGCGAGCGGCGTTGTTTTGTTGACCAGCTTATCTTTGTGGTCTACTGCCTGTTTCTGCAGGATGGTATGGAAACGCTGGCTTAGACATGGCAGAATAGATGAGCACAATGAGTGCGCCAATGCGTAGGAGCATTACTTTCGTTTTCACGGCTTTCGTCTGCTCGATGCCCCAATCGCGGCGACACGAACGCATGCGAAACGCCGGCACATTACCGTATTTTTGCGCGTATGACCCGCCCCTGCATATAATCCGCACCCTCACTTTCAGTTCACCAAGAAAGAAAAAAAAAATCCTCGCGTATTGCCCGCACATTTGATATGCAGGAAATGCTGTACAAAAGCTACTGCTCGAACAACATAGCATATATGTAGACAGGAAAAGCTTTACTTAGCAAGCAGAATACGCTTTCTGCAAGGCCAGTCACAATTCACTCACTGTCGCTGCTCTCGCTAGAGCTATCACTTGAGCCGCAGTCCTCACTATTATGCACAAGGTCATCTTTGGTTCCATCCATGTTGTTTGTGATGCAGCATTTCTTGAAACATTTTTGCACCATCTCACCTGGAATGGCCTTCCATGCCTCGACAATCCACTTGCAGAATAGGGCAATATCAGGCCTTCGGACTCGTCCTGTCGGCGTCAAGTCGTAGCAGCCTTCGGCCATCCACTCGGCGTAATAGCGCTTGACATGCGCTTTGAAGGGCTTGTTAAGTGACACATCTAGAGGCTGCAACATTGTTGTCATTCCACCGGGTATAACAACTAAGTCGGTGCCATTGCGTGAAAGGCGGTCCTTCACTTCCTCAGCTGTGTGGCCGCAGATTGAGTCAAGAACGAGCATGGACCTCTTTGCGAGCATCGCACCGGGCCTCTTCTCCCATACCGTCTTGATCCAGTCTACGAAGAAGTCACTGTTCATCCACGTGTTCTCGTGTGCGCGCACCACCACACCGGCAGGCAAATGAACCTTTGGTAGAGTTTTCCTTTTCAAGATGACGTACGGTCGCAGTTGCGTGCCGTCGGCGAGGGCACAAAGCAAGACTGTGATGCGCAGTTTCGTGTTCCCGCTGGTCAGCACGCTCACCGAACTGCTGCCCGTCTTCTCAATCGTTGTATGCAACGCATTTCAAAATAAACAAGAGTTTCATCCGCATTGCCGATTTGCGAGAAAATGTAATTGTGCTGCTTTCGCAGGCCAATTACATATCTCTGGTACTTAAGCAGCTTCTCCTCATAAGAAGCCGGCAAGCGTTGACATATTGTAGTCTGCCGTCTGATTGATAGCCCTTGCCGCTTCATAAAGCGGTGCAGCCATCCGGGGCTCGCACGGAACTCATGGGGTAGGCCTAGCTCCCTCGAAAGTCGCTGCGCTTCCACTTGGGCCATCTCGGTCGATACGGCGTGACCCCTGCTTCTCACTTCTTCGATGAACTTTACTAACTCCGCCTCCAGCTCAGGGTAGGCAATGGTCTTGGGGCCACAAAATGACCTACGGTCGCGGTGCGCGGCTTGTAGGCTCTCGTTCTTCTTTCTCCACAGTCGCACGCAGGACTCGTCCACATCGTGCCGTCTTCCCGCTTCGCGATTTCCGAATTTCTCGGCGACGGCGATGATCTTAAGCTTTTGCTGTGCTGTGAAGGCCTGCCGCCATACGCTACTCATGGTGACAGAACAGATCGACTTAGGCTTGGCGAACGGGTCGAGATGTGGAGAACTAGCGGTATCAGCGAGGTAAAGAGCGCTCACACTCGGCGACAACTTGACAGCACTACCCCTTCTAGTACACTGTAACAGCACTCTGGAAACAACAGAACCGAAATGCATTCCTGCTACCGCATCAAAAAGTAGTACAATAATTTACTGATAATATCTCTATAGGCACTATTATATCTCATTTGCCTTGCTGAAATAAATACTGCTTTATTTATTATGGAACTTACTTTATTTATTATGGAACTTTCTTGAACTTTCTTAAGCAGAACCACCTTTTCGGCAAGCCCTTTCCAAAAGTAAACATGGCGTCCGTGACGTAGGGACATGTGGAGGGTCCATGAGCGGCCGCGAACGTCCAAAAAATATACTTGTGGTGTGACAGTGAGATTTTACACTGAACAATCGAATTGTCTTTCCCCAAATATTTTTTCTAAATGGTCCAGCGATGCAAGCAAGCGAAACCAAAATCGGCCGCAAGCTGCTGTGCTACTTGCGGAGCAACACGAATTTGCGGAAACCGCCTCCGTAGTCTTCGCTACACTGTTAAGGGGCTTCACAGCACAACACGCATTGCTTTGAAGCAGCACTATAGAAAAAACCCCGCGTATTATCCACACCTCCACTTTGCCACTGAAATTTTTCGGTTTTTAGTGCGGGTTATACGCACGAAAATACGGTAGCCCCGCATCTAGTTGCAATTCGGGGGAAAAAATGGAAAAAATATGTGCATGTTCTCTTAGTGCTTCTCATTATTTATCTCAAGTTTTATTAATCTCTTCAAGCATCAAATTACACAAAAACTATGCATGTTGTGTTAAATAGTTTTCACCATGTCACTTGCCACTGTTGGCAAGGTCAGAGCACAGTCGTCTACGTGGAGGACCAACGTCAGCGCGCCTGCGCAAGAAAGGGGCAGCAGTGTTCATGTTGTAATTTGACCCAGTTCCGCGACGCATAGCATTGCAAATTTTTACAGATGTGATCGTGAGCCTGCCATCTACGCATTCGGCTTGTCAGCTCAAAATCGTCAAACCTGGTGAATGGCCCTTTAAGAAAAAAAAATATATTACATAAGTACAGAAGAAATTGGGCTCCCTGCATTGCTTGCAGTAATTTTTTTTTCTTGTTGTGTTAAAATATGAAACGTTAATGATGGTATAGCAGCACTATCTGCGCATGAGAAAGGGAACTAATATGCATGGGCTTACTGCTATCATGATCTCTTTGGTAAGAAAAATTGAAAACTGTGGATGTGTCAAGCTAGTCAGTGGGAGAACAGAGTTAAAAGAGAAACTAAAGAGAGAATGAATGAATGAATTTATTTGAAGTCCGGCAGTTTCCTTTGGGCGAGGTAGGGGAAGAGGGTATTAACCCCTGTCTCTTCCCACGAGAAAAAAGAAATGATTTCAGAGTCCAAGCTGACCTAGCATTTCGCTGTAGTGTCCGTTTGAAGGAGGTTTTGTCTTTCAAAGTGCGATGTTGTCAGAAACGTCGCACATAGGTCATGCAGTCTGAAGATTCACCTGTCTTCGGCAACCCTTGCAGCAGCCACGGCAGTGGATCAGTGGTGGTGAACGAGTGCGACGGCGACTACCACCACGACAGCAGACGAGGCGTGCTGGAGTGGCAGCTGCCGTTGATCGACGTCTCCAACAAGTCTGGCAGCATGGAATTCTCGGCTCCAGGCCGTCCCAACGACTTCTACCCTGTTCAAGTTCAGTTTGTCTCCAAGACACTCTACTGTGACATGCGAGTACGTGGTTTTAATAATGAAGTTATTTAAAGTCATGTGGACCTTAAATTGTTTATAATGATGGCTTCAGTTGAAACACATCCTCAATTATAACAACATAGTGTAGTAAAGATGGGCATTCATAGTTTAAAAAGGCAGGCCAGGGAAACACAGACATTATTTTGCTCCACAAGAAGGTAAAGCACCTCAGCACGAAAACTGGCGCAGTGAAAACTCGTTAATACACAACTGCCAAGCATGACGACATAACTACGCACTAAACATATTACGCATTAACCACCAGCTTCAAGTTTGCACCTCCTGATGTGCACCATCTCCTGTACTAAAGCAAACATTGCCTAAATGCCAATCACAAAGCCATTTCTTTTTTCCAAAGCACAAAAAAATTCTGTCTGTCACTCTCGCACAACCATCCGATAGCACTTGGTGCCGATGCTAAGGAGTATTTTGTAATTACATGCGGGTTCCAAAATATGCAGCGTGGCGGAGTGACAGAATGCACATAATCGGCTGCCCATGACACATGTGTTCCGCAGTCTGCTTCTAAGCGAAAACTGGCACATATTTTCGAAACGCGGTATGGTCGCAGAGAGCCAAATCGTCTACTGGCTAGTTGCGTGCAGCGCTTCGCCTACTCGGCGCACACTGTGACTGCCAGTCCGCTTGCTGTAGAATACGCCCATTCCTTTTCAGACAGTGCACAGATGTAGCGAGTAGCCTGTTGCGTTAACGCGGCGATGACGAGCTTTCTACAAGCGATGCGCACTTTGCGATGCTCTAGCAGTCCTGGCAGCATACAGGCACGTTTGAGCTGGCGGTTAGTAAAAGCGTGCAGTATGGTTACAATAGTGCTACGCTTGCTGTACAATGCGCTTGATAGCCTCAATACTAAAAGGTTTCTTGGTGCCTCCGACCCGGATTGCAAAACTTTGTGACAGTGAGCTACTTGCGTTTGTGTAAAGTGGCGTATTTGAACACGGTCCCACACAATGAGGCCGCAGTGAACGCATCAACCCAGCGCGTCCATGTAGTCGCCTATAATGCAGTAGGCTCAAAGCAACGCAACGCCACACGCATGCCTGAGCAGATAGTTGGGGATGCGATAAGGCTTGTCATTGGTGGTAAGTCATACCAGCGCATTTGTCGGTGGTTGCCACCTCGACTTTCTTTTTCCCTATGGTTATGAGCAAAGGCATCGCCTCGATTGTGCACAACTCTGAATACTTGAACAGGTGATCTTCGCACATATCAGAGTGACTGAAAACCATTTGTGACACATTGTGGCGTCCGCAAGTTCAGCAGCACAGTAACTTTTCACAGCACAAAATGTTATCACTGTATGCAGTTGGCACGCACTAACTGTAAGCATAACAACAATCACTGCAGCTCAAGTGGTACACGAATGCATTAGTCTCTATGAGACTCATTCAAGGAGTCGTCGCAACTATGTTTTAACCGTCATTGTTTGAAGGTGGGTACGTACTAAGGAGGTATGACTAACTGTTTTTTTGGAGTCCACTGGCATCCATGGTCTGTGTGCCTGACCTTTCAAACTGCAAATTCCTGCAATTAAACATTGTTTTTTTTTTTTATGGAACAAGAGAATTACTGGCACCTGAATTGCATTTGTATGGTTTTCTATCTGTGCAGGTCGTCAACGTAGTGTCTGTGGATGATGAGTCGCCTGTGAAGCACTCGCTCAACACGTACCTCATAGTGGACAAGTACGAGGTCATTTAAGGGACCTACGAATCACCATGAGGCAATGTTTGAGAAGAAACAAAGGAGCAGTACGTTTGCTGCAGATTTCAGAGTATCAGCAACATGTTCAAGAGGGCCACTGCATTTTTTTTGTCTCGGTTATTTTGTTTGCTTCATCTACCAAACATGTTAGTTAATGTGGCTAAAGAAATAAACTTTATTTTGACCCTTCAAAGAGAGTACCTTTTCGTACGTTTGACACTTTGACGTAAACGTAGCTTTCACACCAATTCCAGGAATGCAGTGTTCTCTTCACTTTCAAAGAAATTGATTTCTTTTCTAAGGCCATCAGTGCTCTAAGGCACTTTGAAAAGCCGCTATAAACATAGGTAGTATAGTATACATGACCAAGACAAGTTCACTTGTCGAAACAGGGCACCAGTGACACATGCACAATATTCATCATTGCACAGTGATTTAATACAAAATAAATGCAGAAATATTCAAAATTGTAGTGATAGAGGTGGGAGAGTGGTTGTGTCATATCGTGATCTTCGAATTGAATGACTTAAAAAATTGAGCGCAGCTCTCTGACAGTGATTAGCACAACATAAGTCAGTTTCACCCACCAGAGATATAATTTTTCAGGTGCCATTCAACTATAAAAAAGCCTGTCAAATAACAGTAAGTTAATCTTTATCCTGGGTGAAGAGTGGCGCATAAGCTGGCTAGCCAGCTTTACAATGGTCAGAATAACTGCGAGTGAGGATTGAAGTTCTAGGAGGTGGAAGTGTTAAAAATTTTTGAATGCATGATGGGACTCGCATCAGGTAGGGCAAACGACGAAGAGTACAATCTCTTAGTACAACCCAGTCAATGGCCATGGAAACGTCACAACTTTATCGACTCGATGGAGTGGGTGCCCTGCTACACAGCACTTTTGAATGGCTGTTGAATGGTTCAGGCGTTTCTTGCAAAAATATGTGGCGCTGCAGGTGTATTTTTTTTCGTATTCTTAAATAAGGTAAATTCACTTAAAAGCATAAATACCGTATTTACTCGCATAATAGGTGCACTTTTTTTTTTCAGAAAATCCGGCTCGAAGTTAGGGGTGCGCCAATTACGCGGGGTAAAATTTTCGAAAATTTTTTCAACTCGGTTCTCGCACTTTAAATCTGCACGCTTGTCAAGTAAAAGGCGACTTTATCGTTTACCAATTAATTCAGCATAAAACAAACATACCTACGTACCTTTTAATGAACAAGGGAGAGCCGTCAACTGCACATACACACGTAAAATTTATTTACATAAAAGTCGTAGCTGTACTGCACTGCCTTCGTAGCTGTACTGCACTGCATCGCCTTCGTAGCTGTACTGCACTGCGTACTGCACTGCCTTCAGTTTAAACCCAGCCGTGTAGCTCGCGTACTTCCCTATAGTGGAACCAAAGTTCAATACACGACCACAACATACAAAATGTTGCTTGCAAAATGGCGTTTCTTTCTTTTTCTCTGATGGTGGTGATTGCGATCGAGCCCCCGGCGTCGTACACGTGACCTCCAAAAAGCGCGGCGATTTGGGGGGTATCAGTAATTGATGGAACAGCCATTTTTGTTTTGTTTTTTTCGCTCATGGACGCTTTTTTTTTTCAAGTTTTATTTCAACAAACACGTTGGTTAGGTCGTTGCACTTCGAATTTTTTTTATTTGCTCGTCGATTTGCCTTCTTTTTTTCTTCAGGGTACGGGGACCGCGTTCCAACTGTACCGCTGGGGGGTAGAATCGTTTCTGATCACGGCCAAGTTCGGGGGCGCCTATTATGCGCGGAATTAAAAAAAAAATGAATTTTCCGCGACCAAACTAGGGGTGCGCCTATTATGCGAGTGCGCCGATTATGCGAGTAAATACGGTATATCTGTTGTTTCTGTAAGCATTTATTCGTAATTACGAAAATATATTTAGTTTACAAGTTAACAAGCTCTATGGTAGTGAAACTGAGCGAGTGATACGTGGCAAGATGACGCGATGAAGACAAGCAGCACATTGCTATTGTTATGAGTTTGTGCAGTTTACACATTTCTAGTGGGAAAAATACTCTATCATTACATCATTCATAAAGCTCACATATATATACTGTTTTTAAAGCATACCGACAAATTTTTTTTTTATTCTTGAGTACAAACACTGTGAACGAGATGGCACGTTGAAGCTATTCCTGCTTTTATCGCTCAATGGGCCGTCGAAGTTTTGGTAGAGTTGTTGCATGCTCTTCGCTGACACGGTAGTTCATTGACTCTATGGTGCTCAAAACCCCCTGTGTAGCAGGTCATGCTTGAACATTGGGTCGATAGGCTACGGGTTGGAAGATCATGCACTGCGTATCATGTGGTGTCTGTGATGGCCATCATTTTTGAGGAGCTTTGCGATTGTTGTAAATCACTTTGTTAGAATTGCGCGCAGGACTCGAATAACCAAATTCATTCAAGTGCTTAGGCGAGCATCTACGATAGCATTGAAAATTTTGGTGGCTATTGTATAGAAGACGACAGGCTCTGTTGATAATCACATTACTGAAGGGCGATGCCCTGTCCACCACGATGAGTGTGCCACGTAAATCGCTTGTTCCTTGCCTTTTAATTTTTCTGGGCACAAGCTCGCTGAAATAAGTAGTTTAGCCCTGAAAAGGTCAAATTGAGCTTTCATCCACATCACCACCCTATGAAAATATTTTTGTGAGTCATCACCATGTCTGAATAGAATATCGTTTAAAACTAATGCCAAGGAGCAAATCTTTTAGGTAGAGCCTGTTTGTTCCCGTTATCTCTCTACAGAATGGGCCCACTGACATAGGATATTTCTCATTTCATTTATTAACTGTGATCTGAGAAAAATTTTAAAAATGTGGAATAACAGGTTTCTTAGGAGGTACCTGCAATTCAGTGAGCCCTATGCAGAGTCATGAGCGGGTTTGTGCAGTAGGAGGAGGGAGGGGCAACGTTTATCGTAGCCCTCTCACAACGGCCTGTGTGTGGTCCCCGGCTTTCAAGGAGAAAGTGAAAAATCCTTGAAATGCAACATAACGGACCCTCGGCCACAAGTGCAGCGAAAAGCTTGCCTCGTCAAAACCTTGCAAGTTTATTATTACCATAACAGGTCTGAGTAAATAGTAAAGGTGTGCGGGAGACTTGGCGCCCATTTGAGAAAGGCCTGTATGCGCGCTACCCCCACCACACGTGGCGAGACACCTGCCGCACACAGGCGAAGGGCAAAAGAGCGACGCTGATTCGCTCTTTCACCCTCCGCTTGCGTGCGGCAGGTGTCTCGCAACGTGCTCTGCGGGTAGTGTGTGTAAAGGTGCTTAGGAGCATGGGAGGTGCTGTGGCCCTCTTGCACGTCCCTGCATGTCCCCCCCTTCTATGCGCACGTAGTCTCAAATCGAATGTGGCTGGTTTTCGCGGGTCGCATTCTGAGAAGGGCAATGCTCTCGCTGCCTGGGAATGAACGTGTTAACAGTGTAAAGATAAGAAGGTTGAAGTTTTCTTCTTGCCTCACTGAAGTTCTAGTAAGTACCGTGCATAAGATGGTGTGATTACCAGCAGGAACACAGGACCACGCTAGACTTGAATTGTCACTTGGCGTTGTCGGCATATGTGCATTCGTTAACCACATGTTCCCTTGACGCCCGTTACCGCTATTCGCAGCATTCAAAGCTTCTATTTCGTTGATCTCTTGTGCATATAATTATGCTCATTATCTGAAGCTGTTTTAAGAATGCCTTCGTGTACTAGGCTCCATTAAACTAGACCGCGAGTATTTGGGCCTCTCAGCCAACTTCGCCAAGATGAAATATTTTACACATGTGCGAGTTTCCTCTGAAGTGTAAGGTGTGCGTCAGCTTCGCGCTGAAGCCTACCCCCCCCCCCCTTTTTTTTTTTCGGCGTGGTAAATTTGGAATACTAGCTACTGTTGACGTCTTAGTCAAAGATACAATTGGTGACTGTAAGCGGTGATGTATGAATATTAAGCATGAGAGTTAGTTCAGAATTTGGAAGATAAGAAAGGGGGAAGGAATGGATATGCAGCAAGCTTTAGCTTGAATCGAATAAAATCTCATTAGGTATTTGACATTTCCCACCAAAATCCGGCGGAATCCAGGGCCAGTCATGCACTTCGCAAAGCACGTGGCAGGGTTTTCTTCCTGAACGCCACTTAAAAATACCACGTATTAAATCTTGAAGAATAGAACAGTGAACTTTTTTTTCTGAGGTTTCCAATGAATTGTTTCATTCATATGACTGCGTGTTTTGGAAGTGACAGTGTTGTGCATTTTCTCTGCGATCCTATCGGGTTGTGGTGATCACATGTAAGCATTCCTAGAGCGTAAGCTTCTGTCCATGTTAGGATACATTAAGGAGGCTGAGTAGCCTCAATTAAGGCTGCAGTGACAGCTTCTTTTCCTCACCTGCTTCTCCTGTTCATGTTGAGCTCAATAGATGGCTATACAGGTTGCAGCCTACATTGACATGTTTTGCATTGTTCGGCCAAGTATGTTTCCTAGATTCAGAAAACTTATAAAACTATAAACTAGGTTCAGAAACCTATAAGGTTGCACGGCGGGCTTGTTGGTTATCTATAGTATCCCATATATAGCACATCCAGGACGAGACAGAGTGGAAGGCTCATAAAACAAACACACTGCTTGTTACGTGCCGTTTGGGGGTATATGTATACTGTTGATTCTCAAAATAAACTGCATTGTTGAAAGTTTGCATTGCGTGTTATGTGTCTTCTGCTCTGTCCCGTCCTGGATGCTATAGGTAGGTCGGACTGGGACACGCGTTGGCGATCAGTCAGTCAAGAATTTTATTGAAAGGTCCTGAGGAGATTAAGCCACCAGGGGGTCCACGAGCGACATCCTCGCAGGTAGGCGACGCCTGAGTCGGGGCGGGAACATGGTGGCGTTCCGCCAGTTCTTGGGCAGTCTGGACTGCCTTTGGTTAGTGTTGAAGCTTCGGGCTCCTGAGTGCCTCTTCTTAGTCGGACTCACTGTTGAGAGGTCCCTGTGGTAACGCGGGACATGGCCGGAGCATGTGTGCGAGTGAGTAGTACACTTCTGTGCAGTCAGAGCATTGTGAATTTATATCCGAGTGGTAATGGCTGAGTCGGCCCCATGATGGGTACGATCTTGTTTGTTGCATGCGAAAGGCTACCTCTTGCGTGCATTAGAGCTTTGCAT